ATTACCAGTTGAGGGGATTGGGGCGGGGTGGGGGGCAGCTGCTGGCTCCAGCCTGTCTCTTAAAGGGAGAGTACACTCTTTCACACTGCTCTTACACATGGAGGAAGCTCCCGATGAAATCTGCATTTTCTCTCCAGCCACAATGCTTGCAAAAAAAAACCTCAACTTGGGGCGGGGGGAAGCTGGTGCTCTGTGACCACTACTTATTATGATGACTGGTATTGTCTCATTGTTACCTTGTGCTCATCTTAGCCATTTATTGTATCCACCTGTTGCCTTTAGCATTATACTTTGGGCTGGTCCACACTGGGGCAGGGGATCGATCTAGGAAACGCAACTTCAGCTACGAGAATAGCGTAGCGGAAGTCGACGTTTCCTAGATCGAACTGAGTTCACTTACCGCGGGTCCACACGGCGCAGGCAAGCTCCCCCGTCGACAGCGCTTCCTCCTCTCGATGAGCAGGAGTTCCGCAGTTGACGGGGGAGCGCTTCTGGAATCGATTTATCGCGTCCAGATGAGACGCGATAAATCGATCCCAGAAGCTCGATCTCTACCCGCCGAATAGGGCAGGTAGTGTGGACCTACCCTTAGAGTGAAATTCTGGCCACACTGAAGTCAATGGCAAAACTCCCAGTGACTTCAGTAGGGCCAGGATTTCCCTCTTAGACTTAAGCTCTTTGGGGCAGGAACTAATTTTTGTTACATGTTTATACAGAACCTATCACAGTGGGATGCCATTCTCAACATCAACAATCAAAAGAAAGAATTAATAATAAAGAAGAAATGGAGCTGCTGCATTTCTTCTGTACTTAGGTGGTAGAATTTTTGGCCTTAGAGTGAAAGCTGAGCTGATATAGCTGGATCCGAGTGCGGGCTATGTGATTTTGTGCTACAACTGTGCCAAGTTGCAGAGGATCTACATCAGTTGTTCCCAAACGTTTTAGTAAGGCATCCAAACAACTGCATTTTGTTTTGTTTTTTTATGATCCATCCAGGATCCAAATTTCGGGATGGGAAATAATAGGCCAGTGTCCTCCTCCACCGCCACCTCCTCACCCTGCCGAAGGGCTACTGACCATCCTCAGCAGCATCCTCTACCCTGGCACCACAACCCTGCTCCCGGAGAGGTGCAGAGGGGATGCCCCAAGGTGTCGGGGGCTGGTATTTGAAGAGTTTTCCCTGCACTCACCCCACAGTGATGACTCCTTTCTTGCAGGGCTGGGCCTAACTCCCTGCTCTGGGAGTTGAAACCTGGCACACGAGTTCACAGCATCTCTCTGTCATGATGGAAAGGCGGCCGGGACATATTTGAGTGAGTGGCATTGCGACCTGCCCATTTGGTGTCAGTGCCACTCAGGTTTGACCTATGCCATCCCTTGCCGCACTGTTCAGGTATGGCCTGACTGCTCTTCTGTCATGACAGAGGCGCAACCAGGCCAAACTTGAGTGGCACTGTGACCCCGGGTACCAGGTCACAACACCCAAAGGGGGGTTGCTGGGCCCAGTGCCGTGGGACAGAAGCCACTTGTGCAGCGTAAGTGCTGGGCAGGCTAACTCTCCAATCCCCCCAGGCCTCTCCTCCACATCGATCCCATGACCCATTTACCTCCTTTCCACGACACAGCCCATCCTTTAGGAACCATTGGCTTAGATTTTTTTGATGGATTAGAAGTTGCTACATTTAAAAAAAAATGATTTAGACAATAGAATTTTGGAGAAAGAATATGGCTAAAAAATAGCAGGCTCCAGTAGAATCCGGACCCCAGATATGTGCTTTTCATATGCTGTTGGGCTGGATACATCAAGGTCTGTTTTACCAGTGGTGGAATGGTGGCTACACTTGTAGGCTGAGGCCTGCGGTGAAAAAAAAAAAGGCAGGTTCTGGCAGAATTCAGGTATGTCAGATCTGTGTTATTGTGTCATTGTTGCACCAGACCACACTTGCCTCAGGATACACCAGAGTCTGTAATTTTTTGGTATAGGTGGAGCAGCTGGCTGTGTTCTGTATTTAGATATTGGAATTTGGGGCTTGAGTGCAAAAATTGGCAGCAGGATCTATGTTTTGGGTCTGGGTTTTTGTAGTGCTGTGGTGCTGCAATGTGCAAAAATCCAAGATCTTTGGTGCAACAGAAGTGGCTGGATTTATTCTCTCTTTATTTGTTCTGAATATCTTCTCTGTGTAGGCAGTGCAGGAATATTTTGATACATACAAGTGGCTGGATGTGTTCTTTATGTAGGAAGTGGAAGTATTGGGGCTCTGTACTGGTTTTTTGCAATACTGTTACATGGGGAATTTTTTTGTGGCAGCTGTATTCTCTATGTAGCCAGTAGAATTTGGGGGCTTGAGTGCCAAGATTAGCAGGATCAGGGTTTTTGCAGCATGCCAGTGCTAAAATGTGCCAGATTCCAAGATTTTTTGTGTGCAATCTAACTAGCCAAGTATCTTTTTTCTTCAGGCAGAACTTGGGGAGCTGGGTGCAAAAATCAGTAGGATCCAGTAAGCCTGGTGGAGATCCAGATTTTACCTCTTTCTAAAAAGCATCTGCTTGAAGTGACAGCATAAAAGGTGTATAAAATGTTTATATATCCAAACATTTCCCCCCGTGCAATTGGAGGGGTTGTGTAGTTTGACATATGGCCCAAAATATATCCAAAGGATCCAAACTGTTGGATTTGTGCAGTATTCTTCCTTCCCCTTCCTTCCCCCCCCGCCCCCCCGCATTCAAAATTCTGTACAAAGGAGAAATGTCTTAAACATCCGATCACAAGTAACCCTGATTACCAGCCTACTGCGAGCTTGATGAAGCCCAGAAAATCCATCACTGACTGATGCTTTCCCTGTGTAAAATCGGATTTTTGTATTTTGCTAATCCCTGGTTACAATCTGTGTCCTGCTCTTTGTGATCCACCCTGCAATCAGAATCCAGCCTGCCCAGATGCAACCTGGGACATTAAAAAAATTCTTGACGTTGGAAAACCGTAATTTATTAGCCTCAATCTTTGGGAAGGGACGTGATTTCTGTGCACGAACTTTTTGATCCCTCCTAGGATTCTGCTGTTTCCTTAGGTTGAGGAGTGCAAGGTGCCTTCCACGGGAAAGCGGAGACGTGAAAGTGGCCCAGAACTGACACCCTGGAGCACCCACTGCCTGCTTTGGATTGTTTTCTTTCTCCCAGGAGCAGGGCGAGTTTCTAGGAGATGCTCCCATACATCCTCTGGATCTTTTTCTTGGCAGTTTTGAAAGCAAGAGGGGAGCTGCCATTCATTGCAGAAAACAATGCAGCTATGATGGTGAACTGGTAAGGAAACATGTTTTTGTTCTTTAATGGGAGGCAGCTTGCTTTCCCCAGGGGGCTCTTTGCTATTAGGGTAACGACTGTGATTATTTCTACATGCATATCCTGGATGCTGACTCTTTTGGCTTATTTAGCAACTGTTCTACAGATATTGAAGGGGTTGGGAATGATTAGAACTTGCAGGGAAGTGGATCATAACTTTGCTTTGTGGTTGCCTTGTACTATGTAGAGCAAGGTTGTCCTTGCTTTGGGATTGTTTGGGGAGTAAACAGCAAGCCCAGCTGGGCTCAGAGTGGGTCCTACCTTCCCCAGAGCTGTTTGTTTGTTTGTTTAATTTTGAATAGAGAGCTTTAAGCACCTTCATTCCTTAATCCTACCAACCTTTGTGATTGTGTGTGTGTGCGGGGGAGCGGGTTGTGCACATGATAAAGTGTCCTAAATATCCCTTCCAAGGATAGCCCAGGTTACCAATCTGGTTTACACCTTCTCCTCAGAGTCTCAAATTAGACCTTAGAGCCTGTCATTTTTAGCCAGTGATAGGGAGTGCCAGGTCCTCACAATAAATATGTCTCAGTGTTTTACTAGTGTTAATTTCTTCAAGAGCATTGTTCAAATCTGCATTCTAAAAGCTTCCTGTGAATGAAGCCATGGAGGGAGGGGATGGCTTTGTTTAAAGACAGGATATTTTTGATTCCAATCATAGGAGCCCTTAGACTCTACTTCATTAATTCTCTCAAGACAAGTATATTATATAACTTGTTAAAGCCTCTGTGCTGCGGAACCCATGTAACTGTCAGGGCTGGTCTGGCATCACTCTCCCAGGTATCCCCCACCCCCATCAGAGCACAGGGCTGCCCTGACATGGAAGCCTTAAGCAGCAGGCGAGGGGGGGGAAGGGGGGCCTCACGTGGGTGGCTGGGCTGGGATTAAAGCTTCTTTGCCTCTCTAATGCTGCCACATCTGGCGCCTCCACTTCCAGTTACGGAGGAAATGGGAATCCTTGGGGTTAGCACCTCCTCTCTGGCCACGTGGTACCCAGGACACGCTGCAAAGGCCGGCAACAGCTGCCACCTTCCCTCTTCCCCCATCCCCCAAACGGTTTCATCAAGCAAATCACTATAAACCTAGGATTGGTACAGATCTAATGGGTGGCCAGTGTTTGCCTCCTGGAGCCGTTCCTCTAGCAGGGAAATAAGCCAGCAATAGTGCTGCGATTTCAGCAAATACAGCAGGACCTCAGAGTGATGAACACTCTGGGAATGGAGGTTGTTCATCGCTCTGAAATATGTGCTGTTCGTAACTGAACAAAACCTTATAGTTCTTTCAAAAGTTGACAAAAGTTTGCAGCTGAACATTGACCTAATACCGCTTTGAAACTTTAATCTGCAGAAGAAAAAGGTTGCTTTCCTTTATATTTTTAGTAGTTTATGTTTAACACAGTACTGTACTGTATTTGCTTTTTTTGGTTTTGGCCTCTACTACTGCCTGATGGTGTACTTCCAGTTCCAAATGAGGTGTGTGGTTGACTGGTCAGTTTGTTGCTCTGGTGTTCGTAACTCTGAGGTGTTACTGTACAGTTGCCAAGACTTGATATGCATTTCCCTAGTGCCCCCACCAAAGAGCCAGGAGCTGGTATACATCTCCCCACTACACCTCCTTTTCCTGTTAGCAACTGTGTGGTGGAAAGTTGCATTCTACCACACCTGTACTGGTACTGATGTTTTCAGTTCCTACAGTCTGTCCCATCAGATGATACTGGTTAAGTCGTGAACCATCTTCTGCAACCACCACAGATGTAGAAGTGCTATTAGTCCAGACATAGACCACTTCAGAATTGGGGTAAGCATCTGTTAATGGAAATAAAGATGACAGGTTAAAACAGAGATTAATTTCCTAGTGGACTCTGAAATTATATAGTTTTGGGAAGGGGAGGGGGAAGAAGAGAGGAGTGACAGCAGTTAAGGGAAACAAATAGATATGATATAACTATGTTCCCATATGTCCGGCTCACAAAGTGTTAGGTCGAAGTCTTCTGACATAACAGATGTGTGGGATAGTTTGTAAAAGGCTGGAACAGTGGAGTTACAAATATAATCCTTTAGGGCCATTTGATTTGGGAGAGCTTTTGACTGGAAAAGTGAAATGTGCACGGAGTGGTGTGGGGGTGTGATGGCTGGTATATATGCCTGGCTGGGGTTGGTGAGTGTGTGTGCACATGGGAGGCGGGGGGGAGGGGCGGAGGCTGATGTGTCTGCGAGTGTGGAGAGGGTTGAATTGTGTGTGTGCACATGTGTGTTTGATATGAGTTCTCTCTACCTAATATTTTTTATCTGGAGGTCCTAGGAATCAAAGGCAGTGGCAGAGTTGCCAGCTCACATGACTTTATTGTGAGTCTCACAATATTTAGCTTTTTTTCTTCAAGCCCCAGCACCTGGATCATGTTACTATATGAGAACTTCAGCTTTCACAGTTTAAAAAAAAAAAAGTTTGAAACCCTTGTGGCTCCAAAGGAAAGCTTGAAAACAACAGCCCTATAGTGTTAAAAAGCAGGAGTAAGGTGACCAGACGTCCTGATAAAATCAGGACCATCCCGATTTTGAGCTGTTTGTCACGATATTTTGCGCCGCTAGGATCACTCAGCTTTTGTTGTGTGTGTGCTCTCGGCTGGCCGGCAGCACTCGGCTTATTTTTTTGCGCCCCCCGCCCCGATATTTTCTTCATCTCATCTGGTCTAGGGTTACCATACGTCCAGATTTTCCCGGACATGTCCGGCTTTTTGGTTCTCAAATCCCCGTCTGGGAGGAATTTCCAAAAAGCAGGACATATCTGGGAAAATAGGGAGGTATGGTAAGGGGACCGCCTCCTCCCCGGGCTCCAACTTTCCGGGGCCAGGCGGCGGCTGTTCGTTCTCCCCACCTGGGCAGCGGGACTCGGGAGCAGCCGCTGCTGCAGCTCCCACTGCTGCGGGGGGAAGCGGCCAATCATGTGGCCCTCGGC